GTATATATATATATATGCAATATATGCAAATATAAAGTCAAACCTCGTCATACTGCCTACTTTGGGACGAGCATAAAGTTGGCGGTACATCGGGGCTGATGTTTTAACGGGATAGAACCGATTACCATCTGGACTAGTGGAAGACTGGTAGGGACTAGATCCTAGAAACATATTGTGGTCAGTTTTGCCTTGTCTAGATCTGTCTTGTGCTCTTGCCATGCGAAGGAGGAAAAAACAAAACAAGTAGCATTCAATCACAGGAACAGGTATTGCTAACCCTTACGTAAATTTAAACTGGAAAGAAGTTAGGATCAGAAGCTAGTAGTAGTATACATGTGCTAAGGACGCTGTAGGATTACGGTTTTCTTTCCTTTTTTTAATTTAGACCCAATACTCGTCACTTTTCTGGTAAACTTTATTGTCATGTAGACATGAACATTAGTCCCCACAATGTAAAAGCCTCACTAGCACCCGCCAGCTTGTTGGTCATCGGGTGACCCCAGACAAATTACCGACAGGCCGAGGTGGCGTAATCCTTTTGAGGTTCTTCAGGCGACTTTGAAATTTAATTCCATTTTTTGAAAATTATATTGGCTAAAGCCTAAAAATTATAGCATTTTCACAATCAGGGTAAATCAGATGCACATCGACAATATATGATAGGAATAGGTCGAGCTCCCAGAGATATTTGTAGGAAGAGATTATCAAGCAGCCACCAAGTGAGTGCCGTACGCCGAGTGTAGTGTGTACCTTTGGCGGCATAGCGGGGCAAATTTACATTAGTTTAAAGAGGACAGTTGGTGGATGGTGGATGGCGTTGTAACGGCATAATTACTTTGTTTATATAGACTATCATGTTGTCTACAGTCTCTATAGTCGCCACTAATATATTGTCGACAGTTTTGCATTCGCTGCTTCCTGGGAGGTAACGAGGAGGGAACGAATACTCTTCATTTGGCTTTCAGCCTGTTGACTTGGTACCAAGAAAAGGGCATTTGTGGTGTAGCGGTTAGGCACT